GGCGTCCCCGGTGACAATCAGAGGACAGGCCGACAGGAAGAGCGCTGTAAATTGAATGGCGCTCATTAAAGTGACATTAATGGTAATATGGAGCGCAGGGGGGGCATGAATCACAGAGAAGGGGCACCGCGCAGCAGCTTGGCCCCGTGCCAGTCACTCCGGCAGGCCTGGATCATGTCAGGAGCACTGAGGAGCTAGCACTTCGCATAAACGCCATATCAGGGGGAGTTAGCTAGTTAGCTTTAGCTGGTAGAGCTGTGGGTAGATTTATGTTGTTGTTTTTTTAAATAAAACAGCTCATATTACGCTATTTTTTGATCTATGTTATAACTTTGTTTCCTCATCACAAGCATACTGTACCTGGAGCTGTATTTTGTTTAGGCTGAATTCTTCTCTCAAACGAAAAATACTCTGTTCCACCTTGTGATGTCATGTGGCAATACAGGAAGTGCTCCACTGTGTTTTTAAACTCCATACACCTTCACTAGAATCATTTGGATAATTTCAGTCCTGAAATTGTCCCTCTTTATTGAACTAAAAACAAAAGGTAGCTGTTAAGTTGAAAACTACTACTACATGACATCACAAAGTGGAACAGAGCACTCTGAGCTTTGGCGATGCAGACAGCCTAATAATGCAGGATTACTCAAACATGTGTGACTGAAACAAAACACAACTCCAAGTATGTTTTTGAGAAGGAAACACAATTCCAACATGACTAAAAGCTCCCAAGAGTCAATTTTACGTAATGTAATATTTAGATTTAGATAGAAGTTCTATAAACATAAACTGTGTCCCCAGATATGAGGCAGCTACTGTATGTTCAAATGAAATATAGCTTTTTAGCAATTGTAAAGCTGTTTTTTTCTTAACGCCCCAGTATGTAACATTTTAGCACTGAAAAACTTAATATGAGCTTGCTTGTATCTCCACAAACCTGACTCTTATTTGGCCTGGATCGGGGCGTCCTCCTGCTTGTTTCCATGGAAATGTTGCTTCTTTGTCTATATTCCACATTATGGCATAAAACTTGTCTATCTCCATGGAGAATGTTCCTGAGTATGGCTTTAAAGGGAGTCTGGAACAGTCTGAAATTCTGGACATAGGTCCTCATTTCCTAATTAGCCAGAGTGTTGGAGACGTGTGGAGACACTTTTTAAAATACTCCATCCAGTCCCTGTATTTGCAAAGGTCGCTGGTGTTAGGCTAGTGCATGTCAATGGCCATAGTTTGCCGGCCACTAAAAACATAGTTACCCAGTCCACTAAACATCCAAAGCAAATCTATTATTACGCCAGACTGTCGATGTAAACATCAATAGAATAATTTTAGAAGTAAAACCAACCTTGCATTTGAAGGATTTATGTCTGAGCAGGAGCGAGTTGTACTTCCTGATAGAAAGCTCGGCAACGGCGGAATGATATCGCCTAGACCTACCTTACTGGCAAAGTAAAATTAAGCTTCTGCTGAGAAAATAGTCCCTCAACATGCGATGATTCATGTGATGCAAGGTTAGTTTCATTTCAAACATTATTCTGTCAACACAGACATTTACATCGACAGTCTGGCGTAATAATAGATTTGCTTCGGATGTTTTGTGGAGTGGGTAAGACTGTTTTTAGCGGCAGGATAACTATGGCCATTGACATGCACTAGCCTAGCACCAGTGACCTCTGCAAATACAAGGACTGGATGGAATATTTTTAAAAGTGTCTCCACACATCTCCAACACTCTGGCTCACTAAGAAATGAGGCCCTGTGTCCAAAATTCTGGACTGTCCCTTTAACTTTCTTTTAAAATAGATACTGCACCTCAGACATTGGATATGATGGTCAAGATGTTTATGTTATAATTTGGGTGGTTTGGTTCTCAAGATTAGAGCAATACCTAAGTTTAAACCTACCTGTTATTGAATAAATGGAAGTGTAATGTCATACTGTGGAACAATCCAGGCAAAGCAAAAAGATCTCTTCACAGATCACTTTTTTAAGGTTGCTTCCAATAGATCTCTGTCCTGTCAATCACTATTTCAACTTTGCACTGGTTTCTCTTTACATCCTCTTGTACATAGTTGGGAGATATATCTGTATTACTATATTTGTATATGTTATTTTTACTTGGGCATTTACATTTATATTAGTATGCCTTATTTGACACCTGTCTCTTGTTATTTTTACTACTTATTCTGAATGTATTATTAGCTTTTATATTGTTGCTCTTTGTCATTATAATATGCTGTATTGTGATGTGTGAGCTACTGTGTTCAAATCATTTCCCGTGGTTCAGTACAGTTTGTCTACGTCTAACATCTACAGTTAAAAGATGGCGGTCGCATTTGCCTCAGCAACATTCGAGACCAATTCCGTTCCATCTCTGTGATTTGTTACCTGCAAATTCAACGTCTATATTTTCACAGTATGCAATGATTATCGGCGAGCATGATTAAATCTGGTTGCTATGCCGACTCGAGTGAACATGGGACCTAGTTAGCGCTCGTCTGGCAGTGTTATTTCTGCGCTGTATTCTGCTTCGCCTGTTAGCATATCTGGCCTGACCTGCAGACGTGTAACAAAGTGGAGGTAGGTTTACGTGCTGTGATAATGCCTAGGTGTTTAATTAAAATCACTGTATGCCTGTAGATCTTTTACTTATTTCATTTCAAGGTTATAATCAGTGTAAAGGATATTGTTGTGTTATACATTAAAAGTGAATGTTACCAGCTGTCAGTACCACAGCTTTTAAAGTTAGACATGGTGGGTATACGTCGAATAAGTGTGACAAACTAGGCATGTTGTATCCACTATGAAAAACCTGTTAACTTGCACTGTGTAACTTTTCGGTTGGGGGTCCGTCACCTGCTTTTTTCTATGGATGTGTCATTGCTTTGCCTGGAATGTTGCACAGTATGACATTAAACAGCACTGCCTTACATTTATTCAATTACAGGTGGTTTTAGAGCTCAAAAATACCTAGAAAAGCAGGCATTGTGACTGTGAGCGGGGTTGCCTCTCCACAGATCTGACCTGCAACTTTCCATTCCAGACAAAGCAATAACATCTCCATAAAGAAAAGCATTTGATGGACCCTCCACCAGAAAAATTACACAATGCACCTTTAAACAAAAGCAGGATGGAAAAAAATATTGATAAAATATAAAAATGTATATTTTGGGAGGTGAAATAAGATTTCATAGCGTACAATGGTCAACAACAATTAAACATTTTTCCTTTTTTTTTTGTTTTTAGACATTTCAGCATTCATTTGGACAATAGGTTAATTAAATCTTTTGTACTGATTATACTTTTGCTTCTTATGCACAGACCTCTATAAGTTTCATACCTTGACAGTTGTGACGTATCTCCTCAGCTGAATTTGGTGCTGTCTTACTTGGAGCAATAGGATGAAAGCGTCATCTGCAGTCCTACTTCTTCAGAACTAGTGTGAGAAAGTTGGTAAGCCCCCTCATCCCAATTTACAATCTGGTTTCCGGATCTTTTATTGACCTCCCTGATTCAACGATGGTACTTGTTGCTCTCTGTGCCTATGATCTTAAAGTTGTCCCAATCTATGATATTCAGATTTACAAATTAATTCTGATATTACAGACTTAAGTTGTAAATCTGTTTAAATGAGCTGAGCAGACACATCACAGAAACACCATGTGAGTGCAGCTGAAATTGTCAAGGTATGAAACAGGTCTGAACATAAGAATCTACAGTATAATATATTTTAACATTTTAATAATGAATACAATGTCTTTTGACAAAAAATATTTTTACTTTAAGTTAAGATTTGGTCCAAAAAAAAAAAAAAAAAAATCGTTTTATTCTGCCTTAGTTTTAGTATACAAAAATGTCTTGCTAATTCAGTCGACCAAATCCATAATCCATAAAATATATATTTTTTTTAAATTTTAACTCTGATAAACTGTATGTCATTGCTTTATGGGACATGGGCAGGCGGCTTCCTTGAATGTTGAGTTTGTTTATGATCTGGATGGAGATCAGGGATTGAAAAGTAGAACTTCCACTCATTCATGTTTAGTTTTTATTATTCAACTAAAGGCCGCCACACACTGCACACTGTACTATCAGAACAGAAATAAGTCTCTGTTTGGTGAAAGATGACAGACTTTGATTTTTGAAAGCTGATTAGTAAGTATATTTCTTTTCATAAACCAAAAAAACAAAACCAAAAAACAGTCAAACAATAGAATGTATATAACAAAACAACTATACACCCCAAGGCACAGGTTTTGCACCTCTCCTCTTTCATCCAATCAGGAGTGAAAACACTGCACACACACTGCATGCTCATGATGGGTTGGTGGCAGGCAGGTAAAAAAAGCACACAATATAGCTTTTTGTAGCCATAGCCTCCTGTTACTAAACTCCAAGCTAGTTCTTTCACCCAAGCGAACTCTAACTAAAGCTAAATGGTGAGTCTTACTAACCCTCTGCGCTACCATCGGCCCAGCACCGCACACATGACCGATCAGTGAAGGATTGTGGGTAATGTGGATAGTGAATGGCATGGATGAAGGTCAGAGAGGGTGACGAGATGGTATAGATGGTACAGCCAGGTGCTCTGTGAGTTTTCAGGCCACTTTTCGAAAACACCACCGGACGACCTTTTGGGGGGTCGACCTGTCAGCATCAGCATTAGCTTTAGCAGCGGGGGGGGAGCGTACCAACATGTGGAGGGAGCGGGGAAGGAGGAGGTAGTAGGAATACACAGAGTTGGCGGTACTCACTGACAGCCTATAGTTCTGCATCATTTTATCAAATTCCTCATCAATCTTTTTGTATTTCTCCTCAGTGCGGGGGGTGAGAGAGAAGGGTTCTTCCGGGTCTGGGCTCTCAGAATCCCGGTGCTCTTTCTTGTTCAGAGCCTTAGTTACCGACAGAAAAGAAAAGAAAGAGGGATAGAAGAGATAGAAGAGGAGAAGAGAGAAGACAAGAGAGAATAGGTTAGCTAGCTGATCAGAATTGGTACTCACGCCGTAGCGCTTGAAGAGGCTGTCCAGGTCGTCGGTCTTGCGGTACTTCTCCTCAGTCAGGGGGCTTTGGTCGATGGAGTCGTCCCCGTCCGGCTCAGGACTGTTGCAGCCGTTAAAGCCTTTCTTTCGCAATGTCTACAGTGGTCAGAGGTGGAGAAGGAGGGGGGAGTATATACATGTGTTATATATATATGTGTACAAAGACAGTCAAAAGTGCACATGTTACACTTGGGAGAGGTAGAAAGTCGTGTTAATGTTGTTTTCTGAACCATGTTATAATGTTTCCTCATCACAAACATACCTGGAGTTATGTTTCGTTTCATCAACACACAAATCTTCTCTAAAAATGAAAACACCCTGTTCCACCTTGTCATAACATAATAAAGTAAGTGCTCCACTGTTTTTTAAACTCTGTGCACCTTTACTAGAATCACTTGGCTTCATCATCAGCTCTGTAACTGGCAATCTCTACTGAGCTAAAATTAAAAGGTAGACTTAGACAAACTTTATTGATCCACAAGGGAAATTATTTGGACACAGTGGCTCACACATCACAATGAACAAAGAGTAAAAAATGTAAATCGTAATAATACATTCTAAATAAGTTGGCAAAAAGATAACAAAAGACTGGTGTCAGATAAGATATAATGATATAAATGTATATGTACGGGCCTAAATAAAATAATTATCTGTTACATAAGGGTGAGTTGTTGTACAGTTGTAGGGAGTATTATCTGTTACATAAGGGTGAGTTGTTGGACAGTTGTAGGGAGTATTATCTGTTACATAAGGGTGAGTTGTTGGACAGTTGTAGGGAGTATTATCTGTTTCATAAGGGTGAGTTGTTGGACAGTTGTAGGGAGTATTATCTGTTACATAAGGGTGAGTTGTTGGACAGTTGTAGGGAGTATTATCTGTTACATAAGGGTGAGTTGTTGTACAGTTGTAGGGAGTATTATCTGTTACATAAGGGTGAGTTGTTGGACAGTTGTAGGGAGTATTATCTGTTTCATAAGGGTGAGTTGTTGTACAGTTGTAGGGAGTATTATCTGTTACATAAGGGTGAGTTGTTGGACAGTTGTAGGGAGTATTATCTGTTACATAAGTGAGTTGTTGGAGTTACATGTTGTAGGACAGTTGTAGGGAGTATTGTCTGTTATAAGGGTGAGTTGTTGGACAGTGTATTTGTTACATAAGGGTGAGTTGTTGGACAGTTGTAGGGAGTATTATCTGTTACATAAGGTGAGTTGTTGTACAGTTGTAGGGAGTATTATCTGTTATTGTTGTTGACAGTTGTAGGGAGTATTATCTGTTCATAAGGGTGAGTTGTTGTACAGTTGTAGGGAGTATTATCTGTTACATAAGGGTGAGTTGTTGGACAGTTGTAGGGAGTATTATCTGTTTCATAAGGGTGAGTTGTTGTACAGTTTGTAGGGAGTATTATCTGTTACATAAGGGTGAGTTGTTGGACAGTTGTAGGGAGTATTATCTGTTACATAAGTGAGTTGTACAGTTGTAGGGAGTATTATCTGTTACATAAGGGTGAGTTGTTGGACAGTTGTAGGGAGTATTATCTGTTTCATAAGGGTGAGTTGTTGGACAGTTGTAGGGAGTATTTGTTACATAAGGGTGAGTTGTTGACAGTTGTAGGGAGTATTATCTGTTACATAAGGGTGAGTTGTTGGACAGTTGTAGGGAGTATTATCTGTTACATAAGGGTGAGTTGTTGTACAGTTGTAGTATTGTCTGTTGCATAAGGTGAGTTGTACAGTTGTAGGGAGTATTTGTTACATAAGTGAGTTGTTGGACAGTTGTAGGGAGTATATCTGTTACATAAGGGTGAGTTGTTGGACAGTTGTAGGGAGTATTATCTGTTACATAAAGGTGAGTTATTGTATAGCTGTAGGGAGTATTATCAGTTTCATAAGAGTGAGTTGTTGAACAGTTGTAGGGAGTATTATATGAATGTAGTCCTGAATCTCTCACTGTTAGAGGGGAGCTGTAGGAGCCTGTTGGAAAATGAGCTCCTCTTTCCCTCTATAGTCTAGTGCAGCGATTGAGCAGGTAGCCATTAACCTGAAAACTACTACTTCATGACATCACAAGGTGGAACAGAGCATTTTGAGCTTTGGAGATGTAGACAGACTAATAATAAAGAATTACTGAAATATGTGTGAATAAAACAAAACACAACTCCAGGTCTGTTTTTAACAAGATAACAACATTATAACATGGCTAATGGATCCTAAAATCAATGTTATGATTAAAGATCCGGCCAATATTTACATTTTTTAGCACAGTCAGAACCAGAGATTGACAAATTTTAGAACCTCTGACATAGTGCACCTTAATATGTTTAGGGATGACAGCAATAATATGTGTTCAAACTGAAAAAAAAAAAAGAAGTATACAGTGTCTGTATAGTAAATGCAGAAAATTGTGAGTACGTATACATATATAGCTCTACAATTAATACTCTTAATGAACAAATGTAAGAATGTAAATGAATCTTACAAGGATCATAATGCAAATCTAATATTGATCTGTCTCTTTTTCTGGCTTTTTCATACTCTATTTAAGGCGGTAACTATTGAATACTGTGTTAACTCATCATGTCATTAATTATATCACTCTGCAGGCATAAAAACAAAACTAAAATGTAATACAGATGCTATCAGATTCTTTCACACATGCTCCAAAGACACAAAAACTGTCAGCTTGGGAAATTATGTACCTTATGTAACTGGCTCCATCGAAAAAACAAAATGGTTAAATGTTGTAATTTAATTGGATACACATTTTCTAACTTTCTCTTTACTAATTACACACAACTTCAGGAATTTTTATGAACTTTACTCCAATCACATCCTTCAAACTGTTGGCATCCTTCAGGTTTTTTCCCCCCAAACTTTTGTTGCCCCAGTAGACATATCCTCCTGAGACCCGGCCCATTCATTTGTGTCCTTTATAGTGGACATTGAGCTAACCATTTTATTTTTTTATGTTTTGAGATAGACTCTTAATGGGGGGGACGAGGTTCCTCTGTCTAAATAGGGCTGTACAGGATAGGGCTGGGTACTATCTTGTCCAGGATAATAAAAAAAAAAAAAAAAACTCAACAGGAGTTAGTTTGTGGCTGCACTATGAGGGAAAAAAAAATTTAAGAAAATAAACGAGAGTCTAAAAACTTTTTTAGGCGACTGTAGAGGTTTGGCAGAGATATTTCTTCATCAAGAAAGTTGTTTTTATTAAGTTAACACCAAAATGTCCCGGCGTCCATTACAGAGACATGTTACAAAATGATAAATAAAAATAAAATGAACAAAATCTAAATGCTAAAATGTTCATTTATTCATTCATTTATTTTAAATCACAAAAAATATATATTGCAATACACATTTTTCTTTGGGTCCGAGGAGGATATATAGAATAAACAGCTAAGTTCAAAATAAGTTCCCTGTGTTCTGGCAGCATCAAATTTGAAAGCATTTTATTTTCAGCTAATCAGGAAGTGCACATCAGCATCTTAGTTGTTGTTAGCTTTAATGTGGCGGCAAAACTCCGCTCTGGTCTCTGAAAGTTGTGAACAGCTCTTATAAACTCATCACGGTGGATAATTAGAACGCTCTGAATGCGTAAAGTAAGTGAGGAATAAATTTGGACTTTTCAAAGATGCTAAAAATCAGGTACGTTGCCTTTAATTACCATAACTATGTTCATCTCCATCAACACATCAAAACAAAACAAAACATCTCACAGAAGTCACAGCGTAGCACGACCCTGGTAGGAACCTATGCTGTGCGCTCCCTTGGGCAAAAATGTGAGGAAAAATGTCTATTCTCTTTTAATGCGGGATCTATTTGTCAGGTCAATGTTTGTACCACGGGCCGCCCACGTGAACAGCTACTTATTACCACAGAGCCCACACACGCTCACACATGCTAACCCAGCAGGTGCACCCGGAACCACCATTGGAAAGACTGAAGGAAAATACTGTGAGCATCCAGCCTGGAAAAAGCACAGAGCGGCCAAATGATTCCATGCACTTGGTCTGTTGGTTTTAAGGATCAAGCCATATAATAGCCAAACATCACAGTGAGTGTTGCCGTGGATGCCACAGCTCCAAAAAAGTACAACTAAAACGAATAAACTTTAATAAATCTTCACCATGCCTTCAAATTAACCAAAAACAAAACATAGCAGCACAGAAAAATATAATTCAGCCTATTTCAGCATCAATATGGACTATTATGTTTGTGAACAACATGGAGAAGGTGAGTTTGTGGACCAGGAAGATGATCTAAATGTCTTTTCTCTCAACTTTATGTAACTAAAGTTTGATTCTTTTGGGCTTGTTCCTCTGTTGTGACGCTTCCACCAATAAGATTCAAAGAGTGGTTATGACGCTCCTGGTTTTCCAATCACTTTCAGCGAGAGCCGTTCCAGATTAATAAAGTGCAGAACTAATTTCGGTGACACACATATTAATCTGGCGTGAGACAGGTTATGGTGGATAGTAACTGTGGTAAATATTGATCATATTTTACATCAGTTAAGAGGCAGTTTGTGAAGGAAACAAGAACTTGGAAAATACAGGAAGTAGCAAATTTTTCTAATGAAATCCCACTACTTTAGTCACCAACTGTCATCAAATCCATCCAAAATGCACAGACAAAGGCATTTTTCTAACTGTGTAAACACTCATTTAACAAAGTGAAGATGTCGTCATTTATGTTATTAGTTTCTTTTTTCAGACCAAGGTTTTTTTTTTCATATCTGACAGTTTGGACTGCTCACTAACGGTCTTCCTCAGAGTGGTCCTGTGATGTTGCTGTGACGTGTCCTGTCAGCTGATTTTTACAAGTTTTGGCGCTGTCATCCTACCTCTACCTCCAGCGCCATCTGCAGTCCGACTTCCTCAGGACAGTATCCCAGGTGTGTGAGTGTAAAAAAGCCCCTCGTCCCAGTTTATAGTCCCATGGGCATGTTTCCAGTGCCCACGGGTTTCCAGTGAGCAGCTGAAACTGTCAGGTATGAAAACAAACTCTTGGTCTGAAAAAAGAACCTAATAACATAAATTATCGGCAGACCAAATGAACCTCATTGTACTATGTTGTCATTTATTTGTATGAATC